AGCGCTAAATTTCACCTATACTCTTCAATTTGAAATAATTATCTGATGTAGTGAATATCCAATCATAATATGTCAAAAGATCATGCGATTACATTTTCTGTCAGTAACTAGTTACTTGATTTCACATTCAAACTTGCATGAAAGCCATGAAGCTACATTTGAGATTTGAGCAACATCAAAACTGTCAAACCATTTGTAATCATCAGAGGAAAGTGTTGTAATCCAATGGTGATTCAGGGTACTTTTATGTTTGTATGCTTCTTATTGTGTGGTCAAGTGATGTCACAATAAGGTACCAACATTGTCTCCTGAAGAAGGTTCTTAGTTTGGTCCATCACTGCTTTCAACCCTCCATTAGGTTTCACATGTTGTAGACCTTGAATCTTAATACATGTTAGATTATTGGCAGGTAGAAGTCAACTCTGGAGAGTTGGAAAAATTCTGGACAATATGAATATGCATGGTTTATAGGGATTTGGGCTACTTCATGAATTTCTTATGGTTCACTTGGTGATTTCTTGGAAGACTCTTACCCTAACCACTTACCACCAGTACTTATCTATTGTTTGTTTGTTTGTTTATTCATTTAATTTGACATAGGTGTTTAAAACAGGTTGATTTTGCACTGTGAGAAATCTAATTCAATGTTAGATGAACATGCAACAGGAAATGTTTTTCATTCTTTTTGTAAAAAACTTTGTCATATGTGGTGAAGTGTTTTCAGATTTAGCAACAAGTGACCCAGATTCAGTACTGCAGCGAGCTAGAGCACAGGGACCTATACAAAATACCTCACTATGTAGTCTTTGGAAAGTACTGAAGATATGGGAGAATGGCCTCATTTTTGAAAAATGGTCATCTTTCAGTTCATGACTTAACCATTACCCATCTAACCCTACTCCTGAGGACTCCCTCAATATTTTGGCAAATTGAAAATTTCTGACACAATATTTTACATTTCATTGGCAACATATACATACGAAGTACATGATGCTAATGCACATACGCTTAAACAAAAATAGCAGTATATACTGTACATAATATGTCATTTATCGCTATACTAAAAATGCCACACAAAGTATAATATAATGTCATGGGAATTCACTGTTATTACTTTATTAAATCTGGACAAATTACATGATTTTCTGATAAAACTGAACAATTTGGATTGTGCACTAAATGACCTGCATCTATTTTTTGCTGATTTAACTTAATATTTCGCTGATCGCCATGGGATTTGATTAATGAGTTGTACAAGTATCTATCTAGACATCGTCCCTCAGGGGAAATTGCTGCAATATGTTTTACAATAAAGGCTGATGTAGTAAAAAGTGCTTTGTAATCAAATCCCAGTACATATGCTATGTACTTCATGTACTAACTTAAAGGTCTAGTCGACCCCATCTACCCATCAAAGTATGTCATGAGCCAGCTTAAAGGTCCAGTCCCCTTATAAATTAACATATGTCATGTACCAACTTAAAGGTCCAGTCCCCTTATAAATTAATATATGGCATGTACCAACTTAAAGGTCCAGTTCACTTATAAATTAACATATGTCAGGTACCATTTTAAAGTTCCAGTCCCCTTATAAATTAACATATGTCATGTACCAACTTGAAGGTCCAGTCCCTTGTAAATTAACATATGTCATGTTCCATTTTAAAGTTTCAGTCCCCTTATAAATTAACATATGTCATGTACCAACTTAAAGTTCCAGTCCCCTTATAAATTAACATATGTCATGTACCAACTTAAAGTTCCAGTCCCCTTATAAATTAACATATGTCATGTACCATTTTAAAGGTTCAGTCCCCTTATAAATTAAAATATGTCATGTGCCTACTATTATAAAGTAACATATGTCATGTACCATTATAAAGTTCCAGTCCCCTTATAAATTAACATATGTCATGTACCAACTTAAAGGTCTAGTCCCCTTATAAATTGACATATGTCAACGTACCAACTTAAAGGTCCAGTCCCCTTATAAATAAACATATGTGATGTACCAACTTAAAAGTCCAGTCCCCTTATAAATTAACAAATGTCAAGTACCAACTTAAAGTTTCAGTCCCCTTATAAATTAACATATGTCATGTACCAACTTAAAGTTCCAGTCTCCTTATAAATTAACATATGTCATGTACCAACTTGAAGGTCCAGTCCCCTTCTAAATTAACATATGTCATGTACCAACTTGAAAGTCCAGTCCCCTTATAAATTAACATATGTCATGTACCAACTTGAAGGTCCAGTCCCCTTATAAATTAACATATGTCATGTACCAACTTAAAGTTTCAGTCCCCTTATAAATTAACATATGTCATGTACCAAATTTATCAACAGATGTCATGTACTGAATGTACCAACTTAAAGGTTCAGTTCCCTTATAAATTAACATATGTCATGTACCAACTTAAAGGTACAGTGTCCATATAAATGGACGTCATGAAAGAGATGTCATGTACCAACTTGAAGGTCCAGTCCCCTTATAAATTAACATATGTCATGTACCAACTTAAAGTTTCAGTTCCCTTATAAATTAACATATGTCATGTACCAACTTAAAGGTACAGTGTCCATATAAATGGATGTCATGAAAGAGATGTCATGTTCCAACTTGAAGGTCCAGTCCCCTTATAAATTAACATATGTCATGTACCAACTTAAAGTTTCAGTCCCCGTATAAATTAACATATGTCATGTACCAAATTTATCAACAGATGTCATGTACTGAATGTACCAACTTAAAGGTTCAGTTCCCTTATAAATTAACATATGTCATGTACCAACTTAAAGGTGCAGTGTCCATATAAATGGACGTCATGAAAGAGATGTCATGTACTGCATGTATAAACTTAAAGGTTAAGTCATGTACAGTACTACAATTTCTAACTTAGATGTCCAGTCCTCTTCTGACTTAACACATGCTATGTATTGCATCTACTAACATAAAGGTCCAATCCCCATTTTCTGCCACTATTCCATCATATATTATACTTTCATGTTTCATAAAATATGATTTGTGAAGTACACAGCCAACTTATATTCAAAAGAGGAGGGTGCTTTTTAAAAACTAATGATTATTTTTAGAGTAATATATTTAAAGAGCCAAACCAACACATTCAGAAGAAAAAATTATGATTTTCCTGTAATCTCAATCATTTTGAAAAATAACAAATTTCAGGTTTTCTCGTATTAATTCATGGTATTCACTTTCCCTTAAGTCCCTAGTCCCATTGTCATACTAGATAACGGTTAGCATTTGATGAATGTGAAAGTTCGAAGTAACATACAGTTATTAATGGAGTAGTCGAGAGAGAAAACAGACAGGCTACTGTCGATGTCATATTCAGCCAATGGCATCTCATTTATAACTTCCTGTTCAGCTTGATCATTTATGTCGCTCTAGTCTGATACTTAACATTGTTTTAAAGCTTGGCTTTATATTGAGGACTTGACAGAGATTAAATTCAATTTAAAATCTCAACTTAAAATCATGAGACTTCTCTGCTGCCGTAGTCATAAGCTTTTTTGGCTCCATTTGAGCTGATTTTTTCGAACTCCAACTGCAGAGTTCGCTGATACATAAGGGCCTCTTGCTTGAGCGATATAGAGCAAACCCATGATAGTGTCACAAGACCTGACTTGTAAAAATATAGTTTCACTCACTCCATTCTTTTTATGGAATCCAATGTTCCAGAGTGATTTCTATATTGTGTTCAGAATTTGTGTAATCGGTGGTTAACACTTTAAAACATTAAAATGTAAAATATGAGTTTTATTTCTTTCCCTTTTCTTTGCATTAATTAAAATATTAACATATTATAATACTGGCGATTACTAGAGTGCTGCTAACTCGATAAAAGGCTGGCGCTGGCTAGAATTGTCTATGGTTCTAGCCAGGATAAAGATACCAGAACTTCAACTGGACAATGGGAAGAACTGCTCTACCTTAGTGACTAATATGTCATGATATGACATCTAAAGAGTCAATAAAAGATATAAAATAAAATATATAATATATTATGTATATTAATCGTATACCATAGACTGAGACATGAAAACTGTTTGTCATATTTCATTCACACTTTATTTGTCTGACTTCATACTTTCAGAGAAAGTATTACATTAAACTATCTTAAATTCAACAATATGTTTGTGCAACAAATAGAATGAATTATCAATTCAATGTAGGCCTATGTACAATTCAGCTTATTATATACAATATATACACATGAATATATGCAAAACATGTTGTAAATACCAACCTCTTTATAATATTGTAAAGTCTACAAAATACAAATCTACTTTAGTTCCATATTCACCTCATTCCATAGAACAAAATGCCAAAATTAGCTCAAAATGAACAATGGAGACTACCCATAATAAAAAGAAAACATTATAACAAACCGATAACGTATTGCTTGCTTTTGGTGTTACAAAGTTATGTAGTCGTATCAACAATATTCAATTGTATCCCAAAGGAGAGACCTCTCAGCCAGAAACCACTCCAATATCAATTACATAGTCTCCTTTGACCTGTAATATCTATGTATGACCCCATCATTCATCAAAACCATCACTTCCCCACCACTTCTTCATATTACCCCATCCATTTCCCTTCACATAATCACAACCCCCCCCCGTCAGCAATAAAGCCCCTTCTAACCCACTCCCCCACACTCAACCACAGTAAAACCTGTCCAAGTGACCTTTGCTACCTCTAATAAAAAGTGTTCCATTTGGGAGGTGTTCCACTAATACAGAGGTTCATTTAACAATAAGCCAGGTTGTGGGACTTTGAAAAGTATTCCACTTCTGGAAGTGTTCCACTTGCAGAGGTGTTCCACTTTACGGTTTTACGGCATTTTTTCATGTTTTTCATAATTTTCTCCATCACACCTCACAGGAATAAACATATTTTATATACATTGTATGAGCATGGCTCTGAGTAACATGAATGTACATTTATTACTATGTACATAAGGGATCAACCATTATATCTTGAGGAGGTGATTGAACAACAGTTCACCTATTGTTGTATGTGCATAATGTACATTACTATGTCTAGGTAATAGTCATTGTTATAGTCCAATCTATAAAATACTAATCATGTTTAGGAGAGGACCACCTCCAGAATTATTAACTCAGGGGAGTTTTGTCCTATGAATTTGTTATAACAGTACAAACCATTCTGTAATTCATCACACCTTCCTGTTTTACAACGAGCAATATATTTTTAGAAAGAACACTGATTGAATACATTGGTGAATCATGATCATTACAAATAGAGTTGTATTCAAGACAACATGACCTAAATGAATAGTACCAAGGGTACTGTGCTCACATGGGAAGGTTTCAATATTTTAATGTTTGTGAAATCATTGTGAAGTTATTACAAAAAAGCTGAAAACCTGATTTTTCTACAATAAAATTGGCAGCCATTTTGAATCTTTGCAACATTTATACCTACACATATGTATGCTTACTCTTGCAGAGAAATGGTCAAATCAGACTCTTCTAAACTGTCCACATGTACCTCTTCTTGCATAATCACATTCTGGCTGTCTATTGGTCCATCTGATGATGATGTCATCACTTCATGTTGAGCAAATACTTCGTGATTGGCTGACATTGTTTGATTATCTTGAATCTGATTGGCTGTAATGTCACCAGCTTGCAAGGTGATTATATTTGAATCTAGGCCCTGATTGGTCGAGTCCATGTTGATTATTTCTGAATAAACTACCTGAGAGTCTGTGATGACTTGTCCGTCATGTATTTCTTGGTTTTGTGAATTGATGAGTTTTTCTAGTTGTTGTGCAGTAATACCATTCTCTCCTTCTGCGTTGACCACTAGTTGAACCTGTGCCATCTGTTCATCTGTCATACTGACAACAGTGGTGCCACCTGTAACACACAAATAATACCCATAATGCAACAGTATAAAAAGTCAACAACAGTGCCACTTAATATAAATACAATCATATAACCCATAATGCAATGGTAAGAATACAAGTGCTGCCATCTGGAATGAATAGAAAAAATAATACCCATAATGCAACAGTGTTCTTATGCAGACAGTTAAATGTCAAACTGTTCCGTTAACTTATACAATTACCTATAATTAAATGATTAATTCAAGATCATTTATCTTAACCATTCTGGTTATTTTTCATTTTTGATCATAAGATATTATTCAAATGTATTGAACATTGCTGTCAACCCACAGAAAGAACAGTTGACAAATGTGAACTAAAGCATCTAAAATTATACTTTTAAAGAAGTAATAGACCTCATGTGTTCAATTATAAAGAGTTTATAGCCTAACTATAATAAATGGTACATGTACCACCTGAAATAAGTGTTTCTTTGAATTAATCATCATTCAAAATACTCAAAAGTTAAATATTTCATTTCATCAGAGATGGACTAATATGTATTATAATTACAGTTAGAAATATATTTTCATAAAATTAATCATCAAATATTGAGCCCGAAAAGCTGTATGACTGTCTGAACAAGCAGATTTGACAATTTTTCAAAACTATTGCAAAATGACTACCTGTTTCCGTGGTGATATCTTGTACAATGTTTGAATTCAGGGGTTGGAAATGAGAGAGAATGGGTCAAAAAGCATTTCGAAAAATATGAATTCTCTATTATATTCCATTTTATGCATATCTAGTTCTACATTTTAATACACTGTTCAAGCCTGTAGCCAGCTTTTGCCAAGAGGGGGTTCCCTTTTTAAAAACTTACTGGGGTGGTTCACATGATTTTGAAATAATTTTTGGTTGGGGTAGGGGGTTCACTCACCCCCTTCACCCCCCCCCCTCCCTGATGGCCCAATCCTCCTGATCACACTTGTATCAACACTTATGTCCTTTACTTAGAAAATATGTTTTCTGCCTATCTACCTATAACAGAATGAGTGAGTTTTATATGTTACAAGTCTCTATGTGTTGCTTGGGGGTTGTCTGGCATATAGAGACTATGGTCAGAGTCTGTCCATCAATCACACATTATAAATACACGGCTAGTAGTATTGTAGTCATTTGTAATAGTTAAACATACAGTGATTGATTTCCATTTGTTAATCCAAGGCATTCAATGATGAGTTTCTAGTATCTGAATCCATCTGAATAAGTCCTCTCGTAAACTTTCTAGTGACAAATATTGGCAAAAAAGATTTCTTCATACTCGTGAACACTTCTCATTTTTAATTCTAACGGTAAGCTAATTTTTCCAATGAACACTTCTTCAATCTCTCTTTCCAATGAACACTTCAATGAATGATCACTGTCACTAGTCAGTGCAAAAAATCTCTTTCTAGAAAACGCTGAATTCACAGCCTGACATCATATTTTTCCACCGATGTCAATCTTTCTTATAATGGACAGATATCATGCATATTTTTAGATAAACATATACATTTCACTATACATATTTTCAGAAAACATGGGTGGTCATCCAATTCATAGTTCAAAAGTAAATGTCAACTGAACATCTCCAAGAAACAGGTATGTTTTACACCAAACATATAGACAACTGAAATAAGTTGAACTTGAATTTATATTCATGCTATTAAGTCTTGCTTCAAACCCTTATGACTTCACAAAGAAATAGATAGAGGGTGGGGTTCAATGACTCCATACAAGACTCCCAAGACATTAACATACACAATGTCACCACCTGTCATTTGTTACAGACACTACCCACCAAATGCCAAACCCCAACCCCCGATTGCAGAACAGCATCCAAAAAAGTTGGAGACTATAACAATATGCTACTTGTGGTGGTGACATAAAAATCATTGATAAGTTAAATATGTGAAGCAAACAAAGACTGATAAAACTTCAAAGAAGTATACAAAAGCCATCAAATATTCCAAATCCATCACTGAATCCCTCAAAGCCAATTGGAAGATTTGATCACATGGACAACATAATGCATGATGGGACAAGGTATCCTGTGGTAAGTGAGGTGGTGAGTGTGATGATGGTACCATCCGTAACAATCAGTTAACCTATCATCAAATTATACAAAATGCAGCCACATTCACTTATTTTTACATTTTATCTGTTATTTATTATAGATAATTTATAGTGTGCTAAATTGAATATTTTCTCCTCCCAGGAGTTAAACTAAGTTCTTCATTGAGAGCATCCTGAAAAGCCATGAAAGAAAGCATGTCCATCCAGGAGTAAAGGCCACATGAGGGGCTTTATACTAAATGCATTTAGTCAATGGCATTCACGATTTACTAAAAATCAAGACATTAAATCATAGTTTACTTAACAAAGGGTGTGTGAATATTAACCCACAAAGCACTGCAGAGGGTGTGTGGTAATCAACCCACAATGCACTTCATGTATGACTGCAACATAGTTTTTTTTATTATTTTCATTATTTTATCATCTTATTTTGTGATTATTTCATTTTGAAAAACAAAGGAGTTAAGGGTGACTATCAACCCCCCTCCCATTTCATAACCCATGATGAGATACCAACAGAGAGCTACCTCACACCCCCTTAACCCCCCACTGGCTCTCAATCCTGAGATGATGAAGCTCTCTTTTAAGAGTGAAATCAAACTACAGGTGTATTCGAAAGGTGAGTCTTTTGTACTTGTTGGAACATCTAGCCAATAAAGAAAAAAGAAAAGCTAAAAGAAAAAGAAAACAGTGATGAATAGAAACGAACACCCAAAGACAAAACATCATTATCATTTATCAACATATGTCAAGGTTTTATTGATGTCTTTAAAGACTGCCCACAATGCGATAAAATACTCACATAATGTCCAGTTATGTACAGTTATATATCAATATTGTATGCAGTACTGGGACATTAACCAGTTAACAAAACAGTGAAAATGTGTTTTTATATAAAGAAAGAAAATAATGATGAATTAAAGTCACAAATGAAAAAACAACAACTATAATCAAATAAAAATATTGGAAAATCAACAAAACTTGGATTTAAATTTCAAGAAAGGGTGTGAGATATTTCAGCACCCATGAAGTATTTTGGCCTGGTTCACATGATGTACCTGTAACATAATGTCATATGCCACCCCTGAGTGGATGCATGAATATATTCAACATAAATACAGGGAGTTCTCCGACATTGATCTTTGCATTAGATTTCATGCTTAATAAAATTTTATTGACCATTTTATTTCATTTTTTATTTCCTATTATGCATAATATATTACAGTTAGAGTACTTATTTTGACACTGACTTGATTAACTTTGACAACCTAGGTCATGGAATACTTAAATCAGAAAGTTTAAATCAAAGTTTTCAAGAGATTTTTGTTCATGAATTTTTTTACTCATTTATAAAAATCATGAAGAAGCAAGTATTTTATTATATTATTGTTCAATAAATTTGACTTGTTTAACTTGGATAGCCTATGTCATAATACTAACATACTTACCAACATTTTGGTCATGGCAATTTATTCTTTTTTATTTTAGAGATTGTACATACTGTTATTGTATGGGTGGGCCAAAACTGTTCAATTTTTGAAACAGTCCAATAACAATTTCCTAGTGGTATGCTAAAAAAAGAAATAAAATGACAGTAATTGTCATTTCAAATTTGAACAATTTTAACCATCAGCTACGATGTTCCCGTCTTATTATCATAACCCCTAGGTATGTTATATATAGAATTTATAGGCGGTTAGTTTCCAGCAAATTCAAAAGAATATAAATGTCTAAATGAGAAGGGGGATGGGCACTTATGGAGTTAATAACCATTCCTATGTCTCACTTACAGCAAACCGTTCACATTCTACCTTGGTTTATAGTCCAATACGCCCCTAAGGCCACTCACATAAGTACAGATTTCATTGAAGAAATTCCCACAAAATACATTCCTGAAAATATTCAATGATTTGAACAATAGTTCAACTTGATCATTAGATTATCCAAAGATCATTTGTTTACATGACAGAAGATGAAATACCATATAATTTTGAAATATAAGAACAATACATATCAAATATGAAGATTTCTAGGCAGTATGTTACATATGTTATGGGACAAAATAAAACAAACCCTTTATTTTTTGTTTAACCAATGGCTTGCACTGCTACAGAATTCTTAAGCCTAAACTCGAACAAATATAATTTCAAGTATTTTAAAATTTAAAAAAAAATGCTGAGAAAATATCAAACTCAAGAGCAATGGAACTGTCCAACACCCATAATTATCTGTTTTTAACTAACCACCGTGATTGGTAGATGACGATCGGTCCCAATATCTTAAACCTACGAACAAGACATGCCCATAATTAGTAGGTAAGTGAAGATGGGTTACACTGAACCGCCGCTTATTTTTGAAATTTAAAACATGAAAACCAGTGAATAAAATATGTGACAATCATTTCTTAAATAAATAAATAAATTTCTTAAACTAATACAGAAAAATGGAAAAAATAAAAATAAATAAAACACAATGCTAGTTACCATAACACTGAACCCTAAATTGACCACCTTGTAGCATATTCAATAAACGTGATGTAAACATGGAATGAAAAGGATAAGAGGGCTGATATTTTAAGCGTGAGATATACGGAAATCAAACATGGTGGGGAGTGACAAGGGAAGAGTAGATGTTGGTACGGGAATAAATCGGGGATACATCGGCAGTTCACACAAACATACATAAAAATAAATGTTAAAGAGAACCTATCAACAAAATTATGGTAGTTATGACTGCAACATGATATAAAGAGTAAATGGAGAAAGTTTGTGGGAAACTGAGATAATAGACTGTATGTAACACTCAAAATTACATAAAATTGCCCAAAAATTGGATGGTCCATTGAGTTTTTTGAGAAATTGATTGCCAAAAATTTAAATGGCTGGGGATAATTTTAACGTGGGTCCTAACAAT